TGTCTTGTTGCCATGTTGCCATGTGGGTAGTCCGATAGTCCGAATACTGCATCGTTTCACATTGTCTTGTACTCTTTGTGCTGATCTTGTTGTCGTGTGCAGTCGATCCGTGTGGTGAAGGTACGCCTGCTGTACAGCCGAAGTTCACTGGGTCTGCTAAAGACTCGCGGTTGTAGACAAGATGTGATTTATCGCTCGGGTTAGGTTGGCCAGCGCCAGGTCTCTTGTTGCTGTGATCTATCCGACTGATCGATAGATGAACCCGATCGGTCGTGTGATTTTCGGGCCGGCATAGGAGTCGGGTAAGTTCGGAATCGGATGCTGCTTACGTGTTGCTAGAGAATCAGTACAGGCGAATCAGTTGTGGAGCGATGCTGATGACACAGGGTCAACGTTTGAATCGTCTAAGGTACACGCTCTATCTTTTAAGCGGGTTCTCGCGCAAATTTCCCGGCAGGCGTGAGACGGGAGTTTACTTGGAAGAAATTCACTCCTGTTCAGCCAGCCGAAGGCCACAGAGACGCCAGTCTGCAGAGCTTACGGCAACTCTCAAGCAATTAACGATTCAAAAGTGTATCTCACAAACTGCTCTTAGACACGGGCTACGATGACCTCTGACAAGTGACCTGTTTAATTGTATCGGTGCTCTGGGACAAGTGAGAGTCTCGTTCATTCATTCACACGGGCGCGTCCGCGCAATGATGATTATCCATCGCTGGGATCTGACATTCCATTCCACTCACCCGCTTACCAGTCAATCGCGACTATCGTTCACCCGTTTGCACATGAGTGCGACAGAGCCCATCGATAGACCGAATGACCGTGGCTTTGGTGACCACTGTAGCAAAAATGACCACATTCAAGTGCCCGACAGAATTCCAAAATACTTTGCAGATTACAGTGATGTATTTTTAGTAAAATCATAAATCGTCGTTTGTCTTAGTTGCGCCAACCCCGCTCGAAACTCGTCCAGTGCATCGTGGCACTGCTAAACGCTCCCCACAAACCTATAAAGTAATGCACATGAGTTGCTTGTTTCTTACTTTGTACGATTAAATACCATATCTGTCTGATCAAGTGTGAAACCAAACTTTGGAAACCTTGAAGTCATTCAGATGCAATCTTTTAGCTAACTGGATTGCCTTCGTACAAGCGATGCTGTCCACCGTCGGGAACTCTCCGTACTTCTCGTTCGTAGCGGTACATCAATCCAAGGTTGTCTCATCCACTGTCTGGAGCTTTTCGTTTTTATTCCTGGTGGTATCTTTCCTCAGATGCTCCAGCGTTCAAAAATTCCCCGATAGTCGTTCGATGGGATACAACATTGTAGACAGTTTTTCCTGAAACGCCAAGTGACTTGGCTACGGAGCTCTGAGTTGCGCCTGGCTGTTTCAGCATTTCCAACACATTCTGCTTCTGTCTGATCGATTGACGCTTGCACATTTTGACGTCAAATGACATTCTCCGATCACCTACATAGGTGTGCCTTCCTCGTAAGGATTATCCAGTCAGTAAACAGTGCCATGAATGCGTCGCATTTGATGCAACGCCATTGGTTGAGTGCGACATTTCAGGTTGGATAATCAGTGATCGTCCCGAACATCGGTCAACGACCAAGTGAGTACGTATTGGGAACTGCGACATATTGATTGGTGCGACATTGCATAGTCAGAAAGTACGTTATTGATCATACGGTTGGTTTGGATTTTCGAAAGTGGGAAGATATTGGAAAATGCGACTTCTCAGGTGTGCGACATAGCATTAGATTCACTATATTCAACGGGAGCAGCAGATGTGTTTCAATTTCGTGATGAATTGAAAGAGGTATGCTATCCCCATACTTATTTTCTACTCAGATTTGTGATATCCCTCGTGTTCCTCATGGACGTATTTTCAACTATGGCGATGACGTCCTGCTGTGCCAATCCATTTCTTCGTACGCCGATCTAAGTTTCACCGACAAGCTTGATCAAATTCGNNTCGGTCATTGTCCTCTTCATCGGGCCTAACCCTGAAACCCAGTAAATGTGTCGAGTGTTTATATAGTTTTGCTCGCTCTGCATATCCGACAGGCCACATAATGATTAATAACAATCCTCTATCTTGGGTGAACTGTGTGAAATATCTTGGTGTAACCGTAGATAGCAATCTTCATTGGGCAATCCACATCCGCAATTGTATTGGTAGACTGCGGCGCCCATCTTTTCAAATTCGAAAGCTCAGGCAGTTTGGCGCATCCCAGTCAGTTATTTCTACCTTTATCTATCAGTGTTTACCTCATCTTACTTTACTGTTCCCCAGTTATTTTTCTTGGCTTACTCAAACAGGGTTTCAGTCTTACGCCGCGGCCTATTATTAGTCGCGTCTCTTCTATTCCTGTGAATGAGTTTGCTGTAAAGCCTTCAGAGTATCACATAACTTCCAGTATGAACTTTGTTGAAAGGATCCTGATCACCCATTGCATATAGAACTGGCACGTTGTCGTTCCCCAACATTCCACACGCTTCCAGTTCTGTCGAATTTCATCTCGTATAAACGGTTATCGCAATTCGCCTATATCGTATCTTGCTATGCTCACAAACAAAGAGAGGACAATAAGTGAACTTTGTTTTAACCGGGGATTATAAAATGTCCCCATGTCTGTTAAAACTTTCTCCTCGTTGATTATGTACTTTGTGACGGTTGGCATGTATAATTTTTTAACTGAAATGTGAGCTCCAGTGCTTGCAAAAGTTATACACAATACAAGCATACAAAGCAGATGAAATGTAAGCAACAGCTTAAAAGTACACCCATTTCATTTTTCGCATTTAACTTGCAATTACTTGTGGGATAATTGTTATTGATTGATTAGAACTGACCATCCTTCAGACTTCACCTTCATACACATTCCTCAGTTATTCCGGTCAACCAATACATTCGGAAGCACTAGACTCGAATTTCGCTTCTCATAGAGCTCATCAGTAGTGCATATCCACCGTCCCGTTCGGGATTTCAAATCTGGACCCATCACATAGAAGGCGTGTGCGTTACCAGTGCCAACCAGCTCATGCCAGGTCTGAACCGAAATGCCAATTCATGTTTGTTCACGTTTCGTCGTCGGGGATAGTCAGTTCAATTAGTGCGGATCTATTGCCCCGACTGAGGATGGAATCTGGAACCAACGGATAACGGTAGCTACCAGGCAATTACGGACTAATGCTGATGGTTTTTTCCTACAACTTGTCAATTCCTCCGCAACATTAGTCCACTTAAATTCTAAATTTTCCCTTGGACTCTACTTTCAACCTTTCCCGTCTTTCTCCTCATGGGCGACAAAGGGACTAACCAAAATCGACGCACGATAGTGCATGGTAATGGTTGTACAAACTGAACTGAATTACGGACGACGCATTTAACGAGCCTAAGCCAGGACAATAGCCCGATCCGCGTTCCATACCAGGCACAATCTCAGGGAAATTGTAACGCTCCGCGGAATGGTGATCCTGAGACCAAACAAGGAAGGGAGGCCTTCTGGTGTTGTGTATTTGACTCGATCCAAAGACGATTGTAGTGAACTACTCATCTGTTTATATGCAGTTTGGTAGTCAGCCATCAGTGACCTTGTGAAATAGCTCTAAAGTCCAAAATTTTGGAGTAACTTACCAACCAGGCGAGCTGGGTGGGTGGTGCTTTTTTGCCGCATAAATTTGAAAAATAGTCAATTATGAAGGGAAAAGTGTTTTTTCCTATTCCCACTCCTGTAAATAAATCACGGTTAGGACAGCTACAGTGCGTGGGTTAACTACTTTTGTAAATATAGATCACATGTGTAAGACTGAATGCTTTTCACTTCAGTATTGAGCTGCAGACATTCAGTAGACAACTGAGGTGTAGGATTCTACCTCAATGCTTCTGGAGGGAGACAGCACTCGCCGTTTCATAACCGAATCAGTGAACTCTAGTGATGAGCGAAAATTATTGAAAACTGTCAGGGCAAAGCCAATTACTCCTTTAAGTTCGTGCGCAATCAATGGAAAACGGATACTAACCTATTGACTGGTGGAAATGTCAATGTCAATGCCTGAAGTGATATATATTGAAAAGAAGTTTCTTCGCCTTTCCATTCGGATCTCGTGTTTTCTCCTCTGGAA